CTAAACGAAAACAAACAGCAAACAGCATGCAACTGATCCAGTTCTAAGATGAGAGCTGATAGCCGTGGGGGCGTACTGCTCGACACTGTGGGGATAAGGTTGCAATTTCCTTGTTATAGTTTTGATTTAAATGCACGTAGACAATTCTCATGTTTGGTTTATTGAGGAGAGTCAGGTGCTGTCAGAAAAGCTGTCAAAGAAATGCAGTACATGTATGTTGAGCAAGAGCAGATCCAGTGTCGATTTTCTAGGGAGGGACAGGCAGGGAAGGCCCAGAAAATTAGAAATTTTTGTCTGAAATCTTTATTACCCTTCTGAGGGGAAATTTGGAGTTTATGTATGTTTTTTGGACGGAAAGGACAGGAAATGGTCCTCAGAAATCACCTTTCTCTCATTAGTTAGAAAACCTGTAAAAGTTGCCTCTTTGTTGGGGGGGGGGAGAGATAAGGCCATCGTGCCCTGACTTGCCCTTGATGTTGGGTGGGAGTTGTATGAACTGCATTGGTCACTGTACCTCATGCTCAATAGTGCCGTAGTTGATAAGCAAGGTCACATTTATGTCATATTTCACACAGCATTTATTAGAAAATTACAGTTTGTTGGTTTTGTAGAGACACGTCTGTTGACCTTTAATTTTCAACGGGAAATTAAACGTTTCCCGTATGACATATTTGAATTGTAGTGTAAATGTCATCCAAATTGAACTTTCTTAAGGGTTGAAATTTTCATATTCCCCCAATACTTGAGATAAAATTCAATTGTAGGCCCTTGCTTTTTTACTTGTGTACACGGAAAGTGCAATCACCGGTCTGGGATTTAATACAGGGAAGCAAATATTCTCCTAGATATTCAGTAAATTTTATTATCAAACCCAAGTGACAATCGCAACGTTGCCTTTTGCTTGGTCAATATTGATCTAGCTAGAAAGCACTTTCCGTGCAGGCATAGAAAATTGTGCAGTGTTATTGAGTTTTGAAAGCAGAGACCCTGAATGTTGACACTTTATAAAATCGTCAAGCAAACTGCGCAATTCCGTTGAGTGGGGATGGCACTACTTGTACATTGTCAAAGGAACGGAGAGATTGAATTATCTGAATCACAAAAAAAATTGAATGGAAAAAATGAATAAGCAAACGCCTTTACACTGCTCAGGTGGGTAAGACTATATGTCAAGCACGGTTGAAAGTCACAAAAGGCATATTTTCCTCGAGGCAGTAATGTCTTTCTCCTGAGGCTTTGAACAAACAACCCGTTCTGCTAGGCTAAGAGACAAAAGTCGTGACTGTGGAAACTTCATTGCGTTCATCTCATGAGAAAAAATAGCTTTAACCTGGGAGAAATGTCAGTCCACAGAAAGTGGTCAGCGGATGACACATTGCATCAACAAAGCACTGCTCTGGCTTCATGACTTATTACTTGTCAATGACTTGTACATGTACTTACTACTTACTGATTACTTGAGAGCAGTGAAAAGGGAAATCGTAGAGGCTTTCATGAGTTAAGGAAATAACAAGATCTCATGTGAGTAAGACATTCAGTTCATTGATTTGCAGGAAGTTGTCTCAGTATTGAAGTCAAGAATTACACATGGATATTGGCCTGAGAAATCCCACGGGGAGTTCATTTGCACAATTTCTTTTGTTACCTTGTGAGTAATACCCCACTTTACATCAGGAATGGTGATTTTTATTCTGATTACGTTTATTTCTGTGGTTGATCGAGTCCCACGATTAAATGTTCGTAGCATCGCCGCACTTTGCGGCTCCAAAGCCACTTTGTGCGGTGCAATCAGATTGCCAGTCGCCTGTGGCCACACTCCCAGGGGCTTGTGTTTGTAAGAGCATTGTGGATAGATGTGATGTAGGATAATGAACGAACAAAAAAAAAAAAGAAAAAAAACGACCGTCACCTGGCAGTGGCAACCTCCACTCCTCCCCAAACCAGCAAGAAACCTTTCAGATCCAAAGAAGATATCGTCGGGCATGACTTTGTTTCTCCTCTCTTAGTTCTTTTGCTTCATTTGAACATTTCCATTACACGGAGGCAGTTTTAGTGCCTGGGGGCAGCAAGTGAAGTAGCACGAAGGGAAGAAAGAGATTGTTTAAACCCAAAATGAAAATAGGAAGAGAAAGATTGTACATTGTGCCCTTCAGTGGCTGGATAACTTTGGAACAAGGTCAAACACGGGGGCTCAAGTGTTGGCATGGATAGGGGACATCTGTGTCCTGGAGACTGTGAACCGCTTAGAAATCAAACGTTTGGAAACAGGCGTAGGCTTGGGTGAGTTTAGACCTTGCAAGGATGAAAAATGTTTGCGTGTCATGAAACAGATTTGGCCTGGAAAAACCAACACTGAAACTGTGATCAGATCAATATACTGCATAAGGTCACCTGTCTTGGGAATGGGTCCCTGACAGGCAAACTTTGCAAAGCATTGATTCTGAACGACAACGTCAAGATTCCCCAGTAGCCAAATCTTGTTGCACTGAAATGTATTTCATGCTGTGACCATGTTATTTTTTAGTCAGTGTTGTCAAACAGATACCAGTATATGCCCCCGACAACCAACATGAAAAGCCAGCAAGTGTCCAGATTGATATTATAAATGAAATTACCTGTCTTGGGAATGGTTGGTTTCCTGACCTGTGCAAACCTGCAAAGCATCGATTCCAAACGAGGACAACCTGGAGATCCCCAGTAACCCAATCTCACTACAGGGACTACAACCCAACCAAATTGATTCAGTTTGTAGAAGACACACTTCACTTGCTTTGTATCCGTCACCACCCAGCATATTAAATTGTGTTAGGGGAATGATCTTACCTAGGTTCCACATGATAACTCTAGTAGTCTTTGTTACCATACAGTGTCTGCCTCAAAGAATTTTGTATTCGTAGCTCTGGGAGGGTTTCTTGTTTTTGTTTTGTCTCCTTGGGTGGCATTTGTATTTGCACTCATGCATTGTGGGATGGAAGAGCATCTTAACGTGTTTCAGATCGGCTCATGAATTACCTGGTCATCACATCGCTTCTTAAATGGAAATTTCACTGCTAGAGCCTCGTCAACTGCCCCCCTCGTTCAGTCTCATTGGGCTAATCACCAACACATGGATATTCTGAAAGCCAGTTGGAGATAAGGAGGACAGGAATAGGGTAATCCTCCCGGAGTATTTGAACAGGATCAGTCAAGGGATTTCATCCAAATTGATCCAAGAATTCCTGCTTCCTTGTGTGGGGGAAAAGACAGACAATCCAGAGATAATGATTGTCCCTCTTGCAAAAGATTCTCTTGGAAAGAAGAGGTTGGCTAAATTTTTTTTTTGTTCTATTTTGCTCTCTGCATATCATTATTATAATTGCATCAAAAAATACATTGCAGTGTGTATTCAGGCGTAATTTGGCTTGAAACGGCGTACAGAAAGAGTTTACATCTTCCCCTGGACACAGAAGGTATGAATTTTGAGAAATTATGCTCCATAATTGGTATTCTCATTTAATGTGCTGTTTGGAGTAACTAGAGACTAGCTGAACAAACTGCAGTTTGGAAATTCCAAATTTCTCAGTTCTTGAGTGACAACTCGCCCCCTTCACTTACAGAAGCGGTTATCTTTTTTGTTTTTGGTCTATTTTTAGGAATGAAAAGCACAAACAGATCACAAACACCTTTTTTGGGGGGTGAGGACTCTAGTTTTCAGGAAAAAAATGTTTTGCCTCCTCTGGTTTTTACACTTATAAGTTGAGTTACCTGGGATTATCCTGATAAAACACTGTTGATTTGACACCGCACTGTGGCCAAATTTATAAATTCCTTTGGAAGGACTTTTTACTGCTTACAGTTTACACAACACAACACCAAAATCCTGCTCTTGTATGGTTGAGAAATTAGCACAACTACTGGCAAGAAATTGAAGAAACAACACAGAAATTGTTCAAACAGGGTCATGAATGGAAGATACACGAAGATTGTACACAGTTTGGTTCATTCTGTTTTGTTGCCCAAATTGATAATTGCAACCTGGGATGTTGAAACCTTACGCAGGGTAGATACCTTTGAGATTGCAAGGCACCTGCTTTGATTATGCCCCAGAGCAAGCTGCCAGCACATTTGCAGTGCATATATTTGTAGAAGGTCAGGAGATTTTTCTATTTTCTAAATGCCTTGGTCATCAAAGTTGAAAACAAGAAATCTTTACTACTGTGTATTTCACATAAAAAAAAATTGTGAATTTGTTGATTGTGAAGTGTCTAATTGGGTTGTGATGATAGATACAAATACTGGTCGCAAGGCCGGATCAAGAACCAAATTTTTGGGGGAGGGAGATTTGGGGGGATGAGGGCAAAAATTATGAAACTCTTATGTAACCATGGTAACCTTTCATGGCCTTCTGTGGGTTTGAGGCAACATGGTGTTTTTTCACATGCTTTTGGAAGGTAGGGAAAGAAAAGGGACGACAATGAATGCCTCCCACTCATTATTTTCTCCCCAAAAAGAGAGGCAGGATGTCGGGGGGGCGTTGTAGTCCCTTTTTGTACCCCTTCTGGATCTGTCCTCAACTCGGGTTGCCTGCATTGAGTCTTGTATATCATAGACAGTATGAAACAAGGCCGTACACTGTACACTTGAAAACAAATAGGTCACATCTATTAAATTTCTGATTTTGTTGGACGAGGTAAGGGGATGGCCTTAAAAGCTCTTGAAATCTAATGCATTTTGTTTTTCACTGCAGTCACCACTTCCAGTTAGTTGCATCGCTGACGTTTTTAACATGAAGTGGTTTTCAAGATACAAGATGGAAAAAAAGAGCACAAGTGCTTGACTTTCCAGAATGTTCGGTAAAACTTCAGCAAGTCACTTGTCCCTAGCACTTCAGAGCCCCTTGAGAATGTGTGGAGAGGTTTATGGATTATTTTTGGGATTACAAGAGCCCAGCCACTGTCACTTTATGTGGGGCTTAATGTCTTCAGAAAAATTGCATTGAAACAGGAATGTGCTGTTAGTTGGCCGAAAAATGGAGGATTTGGGACAGTTTCTGTGAACAACAAAAGTTGCAACGGTTGGGAGTAACAAGCCATGTTCTTGGCATGCACAAACATAAACTAGGAAATAAAAAGAGAGTGGTTTATTTGGGTTAGTTCCATTGGAAAATGATCACAAATCAACAAGCTCATTCCTCATATTATGAAAGAAAGGAAATAATTCACAGTACCGTCAGTCCATCATCAGAGGCTAATGCGCTCTGCTTAGTAGCAATATTTGCAATTGTACTGTTTCATAGCAATCGTGCACAGTACAGCTCAAGTATTTTACCTCCTCCAAGCTTTCACAACTTAGTGTTACGACTTTCTTGTCTTTTTATACTGCCTGAGATTCCTGCTGTCATTCAAATATTTCTTCTCTCTGTCAAATTTACATCAATCTGACTCTCTGGGTGTCTTCTGTCCTCGAAGCACAGTAACAGGTAAAAGTGGCATGCATGTCGTTACAACATCAACACAAACCTGTAAGCTGAAGTAGAGTTTGGTGGGCTTAGAAATGTTGGGCGTATCACGTTGAGAATCACTCCTAGTCATCTCCGAGTTCCTTTCCCTCTCATTTGAAGTTTTGAACCAGTTCACTGTGTTCTTTCTTGCAGGCCCTGAAGGGTGAGGTAGGCATGAGCAGTGAACTGGACGACGTCGCTAGGGCTCTCTTCAACGGCCAGATCCCTTCCATTTGGCGTCGTCTTGCACCCGACACCCTCAAGTCCCTGGGGAACTGGATGATCCACTTCCAGAGACGCTTCACGCAGTACACCACCTGGGTGAGTATCTGTCTCCATGCCATTCCACCTCCTACCCTCCCTATGGACCATGCCCCTTGTTTTCCTCAATCCACTTCTTCATTTCATCTCCTGCTTCAAACATCCTGTGTTTTAAAATCTGATTGGATTCATGGTATCGAGAATGTATATTTGCAGTAATTTTTGCGTTAGAAAGAGCAGATTGAGTCCTTTTTTTTGATGTATCGGTCCTGTTGGAATCCCAATGAAAATAGATGTTTTGCGGTCGAAAAATGTTGAGGGTTCCTATCAGATTACATCATGAGAGATTCTATTGAAAGTGCTATTAACTTAGATTGGGTCACAAATTTAAAACAACTATGTCTCTGGTTCATCAACTATTAAACCTGTTCCTTACCAGTTATTTTCAAATTGCTGTAGGACATCAGTTAAACCCCCATAAATTTCCCATTGTTTACAAAAATTTGAAACAGGTATCAAAATATCAAATGCCAAACACTGCTCCTAATTACCAAAGGAAACTACCTCCCATTTTAGCATGAATGAGCCAAAAACCTGTCAACAAATACCAACGAAGATGGGCTTCCTGTGAACCTTTGCTGCTCATAAAAATGGTCGGCAATAAAGGGAAAGGTCTATTTTGAAAAAAAAGAAGAGCAGAGATTTTTTCTACCTCAACAGGTTAATGAGAGCGAACCACCAGTCATCTGGCTGAGCGGCTTGCACATTCCAGAGTCTTACCTGACGGCCTTAGTCCAGGCCACTTGTCGGAAGAACGGCTGGCCGCTGGATAAGTCCACGCTCTACACTGCCGTCACTCAGTACATGACCCCGGATGAGGTCAGCGAACGTGCTCACTCTGGTAAGTCACCCCAGGATGGTCGGCCCCGTACACATCTGCAAATCAGCACAACTTGACTGCATAATATTATTCATTTGACAAAAGATAGCATGAGTTTGTTCCATTAGAAGCACTTATGAATGCCAACATGTTTTTCTTTCTTCACACACATTGCAATATATGTGATGTGATCAAGAAAGATTTGTCGTTGTCGACCCAGGCCAATTTAGTCAATTTCATTCTTTCAAAGGTATACAATGTCAACTTCATTTTTATGAAAATCCCAACCTTGAAATAATCTTTGGATCAACAGCGGTGGAAATTGAAACATGAAAAGATGTAATTTTGGTCTTCTTATTCTGAGATGTTTCTTCAAATGAAAATGTAACTAACGACTCAGTTTGCTTAATCACATCACGTCATTCTAATTGACTTAATCTTTAATTAATAAATGCTATTTAACCAATTATCACATAGTTTATAGAATGCAGATAATTTGATATTTTCAAAATGCAAAAAGTGCCTTCAGCCGTCTGTTACTTTGACATTATGCAAGGGCCAAAACCGCAGTGTCATTTACAAGTCATTCGTATGCACACTGTCTAGCAACTGGCACTGTTTTTATGCTTAATTTCACGGAAGGACTTGTTTGTCCAGAACGATATTAAACGCATGGAGCAGAATAATGTTTCTGTGACCCGTGCAAGATTTGTTCAGTCTTGCCGTTAGTCATTCGGAATCTGTAGTCATTAGGTTAAGCTTGGGCAAAGAGCAGCATTGCTAGTGCCGAAGTCATTTATTAAATTGTCGTCCTTGCTGCCCTTTTGTGCTCGCTTGGCTGACGCTCAAAATTTGGGTCACAGCCTGTTCCCAGATTTTCTGCTTCTCACCTTTTCTCCCAAGATATTGTCAAAACTTTGGACTGGGGGTAATTTGATTTGCACAAGTCCACCGGCTGTAGCAACCTCCCCACCTTTTGCTAGAAATTATTTAATAAGGACTACCTTTCTGTGGAATCATTAAAAAATTCTGGGTGGGGGGGGATTGAAAATCAGTGGGCCATTCATGTTTGACATTCATACCTGTGAAAAGTAGTAATTGTTCAAGACGTGAAATCGTATGTGCCTTCCGCTTCAGTGACCTTGTGGCTGGATTTATCAGGATGTCAATTAAGGCATTGTGATGTGGTTTGAAGCATGACTAACGTGACTAGTTTCAGGCTGGCTTAGGTTCTTTATACAACTATCAATTGTCATTCAACAGAGGCATAAAGAGGAAGCGAGGCAAATATAGAAAGATGGATAGACTCTCTGAAAATATGAGGCCAGTGTAGTTACAAAGTGAACTGCATACTTTGTATATGTTGAGAAACTTAGCAAGTCCTCCTCGTTCATGATTTGCTGTCTTGAATGAGGACTGTCTTGTAATGGAACACCCCTAGAAATATTCCCCCAGATTGCATTTCGATTGATCTCATCAAGTCTTTGTCTGTCCTCGAGAATGATGAGCGGATTCGTTTGTCGTGCTTTGAGCTCAGCAAGATTGCCAATTTTCAGTAGCATTCAGATTGTAATTCTTTTTACATGAGACAAGGAAACAGAAGGCTGTATTTTTCCTTGAGCGCAGGCATGTTGGGAAAAATGATCTGCAATATATTGATGTAAGAAATTCACAAAGCTATTAAATCACTGCCATAGAAAAAAAACAAAGGCTTTCTGGCGACTCACGAAAGAGCCAAAAGACAAGTGGTCTGCATATTAACGCACAGCTAGAACTGGGATGAATCTCAAAGGCACTAAAAGCCTAAAAAAAATGAAAAATCCAACTTTCCTGAGAATTTTTGAGAGATCTTTATAGCTGAGCTCTGGTCCCAATTCTCACATCTCCCGAGGGCAGTTTAAACTTTTTTTTCATCCTTGGAAAACACTTGATTATTTGAATACTTTTCAAACATGAAATATACATGTATGAATAAATAAGTGACAAACATCGTGACATTTTGCCCCGCTGACGTTAGCTGATGTTTAGTTTGCAGCCTTTGATTCGAAAATGTCAACGAAGTCAAACCTATATTGTACTTGGCTTAAGGGAATGCAAATATAAAAGGTACTTTTGAATCAATGCTGGATAGTACTCGCATTTATGTATTCATGCTTATTCTTAATCTTTCTAGATACTTCTGAAATCAGCTAGGAGATTTGGGAGAAATTCAGAGGATAGAGGAATAGATCTCTTATTCAGATGATACACAGGGGTTATAGCATTGGTTTCCTGCATGGTGGACAATTTTGGAGTATTGTTTTGATGAGAATGCATAGTTGAAAATTCTCTCTAGCATTTTGTCATCATGTGTGTGTCTGGTTGCGGCAGGTTGTTTTGTGACCGGTCTGTACCTGGAGGGTGCCTCCTGGTCTAGAGAGGATGCCTGTCTATCTCGTCCCAAGCCCAAGGTGCTGATCGAGGAACTGCCCATCCTCAAAGTCATCCCCATCGAAGCCCATCGCCTCAAATTACAGGTGAGGAACGAATCAGGGTGTCAGCGGGCCAAGTAGGTCTCAATGCCCAATTGATAATGATGGGCAAAGGATCGGAGTAATTGGGGGGGGCGGAGTCAGGATGCATATCAGAGGCGGTGTATCGGTTCCAAATTTATCTCACTATGATCTGCTCATGGTAGCCAAGAGAATAGGTGTAAGCAACGGGTGGGTGGAGCCAGAGTTCAAATGGGAGGGGGTCATATCCAACCCAAGTTTAGAGCTTTTAATCAGGCTTCTAACTTCTTTGGATCAGCTGATTTCCTGGTTTTCCACTTAATGCTCCTCGTGCCATCAAATAATTGAAAAACACTGTACAAAGTCTTGTAAAGATTGAAGCTTCCTCATCTTTTTTGTCAAAGTCCAAGCTGCATGCCTGTTTAATAATGTGCTTTTCTAGAATTTCTTTGTCATGTTCTTTGCGTTTGGCAGAATACTTTCCGCACCCCTGTTTACACCACATCCCAGCGTCGGAATGCCATGGGCGTTGGGCTGGTCTTTGAGGCTGATCTGAGCACGACGGAGCACATCTCTCACTGGGTCTTACAAGGTGTCTGCCTGGTGCTCAACACCGACTAGATCCAGATGGGACGGGAAGAACTCCCTCAGCAGCCAGCTGTAGGTGGAATCGACGGGTTTGCCATCATCAGAATGGTCTGGTATATTAGGCAAAACACTCATAAGAATCATTTGTTTTATAGGACTTCCGTGTTGCATTTGTGGCACTTTTAAATAATTGCTGTGGCTTTTATTCCCATGAATTTAGGCTTAGTTCTAACTTTGGGTACTAGTAAAAATTTCCAGTATTACGTTTATTTGTGTTGACAAACAGAGCTAGTCTTATTTTCGGGATGCTTCTATGTTTTTACATGGCCACAGAAGGGAGCTTTTGTCAAAGGGACATCAAAGTTGGTGATGGGTTTCGTTATTGTGCTTCTATGGATTGAGTTACCATTTGCTAATTTGAAATAAGCCATCAACTGCTTGAACCAAGACTAGCAGTGACGTTGAAGAGATGCGGAACACAAGGAAAGCAATACTTCGTGACCCACTGACAACTTTTCCTCTCAAGAAGAGGAGAAAAACCCATCGGCCATCATTCATTCCCAATGTTTGAACTGCACTAAAAGCAAAAGCAGTCCCCACAGTTTGACCCAATTTAAATGTGGTGCGTTGTTAGGGAAATGAGGCACTCTGGATTTGATTGAAGAGCTATGAAAGAAATAACTCGGTTAGCAGACAAGAACTAGTTGTTTCATTTCATTGCAGAGGAAAGAATTGCCAGTGGTGGTATTTGAACAGGGGCTTTAAGAAGGGATTGATAACTCGCTGTAATTCGAGGCTGCTTGACCGTGGACAGTTGTGATAACTCTGGCCAGTGGCATAAACTGATTTCATTAACACACGTCTCTGACGGTGAGTTGCTTGGAGACCTGGACATTATTGAGTTGGAAAACAATTGACATCATCATTAACACACGTCTCTGACGGTGAGTTGCTTGGAGACTTGGACATTATTGAGTTGGAAAAGAATTGACATCCCGAACCGGCTGTTTATTTGTCTACACTGATGTAAACAACTTAAATTTGATTTCATTCCGTCCACGCAGACCCCCGAACAGCCTTTGCTATTTTAACTTAATTCCCTTTCAGAGTTTTGCCCTGGAAACAAATTCATTGTATATTTTGCTATATATTATTTGAAGTGTCATTTGATGTTATGCTGTGATTCCAATTTTGATTCCGTCCTGATAGAATCTGGTTTGTATATATTCGTGTACATGTGTGCCTTCACGTAAGCCGTCCATTTTGTTTTCTAAGGGTGCCCTCTGTTGTCTTATTTCAGGAAGTTTCAGGCATGGTGTTAGTCTGGATACCAGACCCGATGATTCTGACTACCCGACGAATCAAGGGTCCGGTATCACCCAATGTCACGTGACCAGGACTGGAGGAATTCCTCCAGTTTTCCAGAAATAGCCGAAATATTCCAAAGTCGTCCTGTCTACATTCTGTATGTTGGGATGGTGCGGTTGATGTTTGGTTATTCCCAGTCGGGTAGGTGGGCTTGTTGAACGTAAACCATCAGCAATCATGCATTGGCATATAACAAAGTTACAAACAACTTACTTGTTGATGGGTGTGTGCGTGGAAGAATGTTGCTGTACAAGTATTGATCAACTGAAAGAATTTCGAAAATGCGTATGCATGATTTTGAATTTTCTGAGATTTTTTCAAATGCACCTCATTACGGAACGCTCAGCTGAATTTGAACCCACCACGTATGGGGATGAAATTAAAAACATCTGGGCTTTCAACTTGTGACCTCTGACCCTTGCGTCATATCTATTTATATCCGTGGGTGATGCCGGACCTAAGATTGTTTATCAAGGGCCGTCAGGGAATCTTTGGGCAGGGAACCAGACTAGCATGGTGTAAGTTTTACTTGAGATCTTGTTTCCTTAGGGTAACAATATACTCAGAATGGTTAATGTTTGTATTACTTATTGCTTAAATTGCAGTTTTTCTCCTTAGGAATGTTCTCCAGAAATCTTCCAAGAAAGAACAATATTGAGTTTTTGTGTCAAGCATTTTGCCAGACTTTCGGCGATATGATCAACAGAGGGCCTTTGTCGTTTACATATTTACATTGTTTAAAGACCGTTATATCTTGTAAATGTAAATATTAAGATATGCCAAATATATATCTGATTTTCTGATGGACTGAAAGTCAAGTTTTCCATTTGAGAAGTTTTTTTATCATTTTATGAAATCAAATAAGAAGTTGTGTATAATTTCAAATCCTTGGTATGGGAATATTGCAAGTGAAACAGATTTTAAAGAAAGATGAATGGAATTCGTATTTATTGATCACGTGCGTGCGTGTGTGGGTGGGTGTGTCATTTGCTTAATGTTGCTTGGGAGATTTATGTGCGTAACAAAATTGTTTGAGGTCGACTTAAAAAATCAGTGTGGGTTGCATGACGTTTTGACAGCCAAGTTATGAAGGTACTTTCTGAGTTGTGCATTTACGTTTTCTGTGACCAGTTTTATGTAATCGTACAAAATACATAAAATAAACAGCTGCCAAGCCGATATTTCACCAAATAAACGGCTGCTAAGCCGATAGTCACCACAAAATTACACCAGCGCTGTATGCGGCTGAAAGTGTGCTCGGCGGTCGATCTTCGTCGAGCACCATTGGGAATTACAATTTTAGCGATTTTAAAAGCATTGCGTTTTGATAGCTTTTTCTTGAATAAATGGAAGGATGTCTGATATGGCTTAAGATCCCGATCAACCTTCAGATAAAATCAGACCACCCTTTCTCAAGAAGACCGTCGTGCGCTGTCGTATTAAGGGGACCACTTCAATCGCTGCCGTCTTTTATCTCGTAATGGAATCGTCTGTTTCCATAACAACGACCAGTGAGCACTTCTTGATAAATGTAGATGCGGTCCACTCATTTGGGGCTGAGTGGCCGTATATAAAAGGTGGTGAGATCGGTTCATTCCCCGGTGAAGAGTTTTGCAGCGACACGGTCGATGTTGTCTTGATGAGAGAAGTAACGTTACCTCTGAGCTCCAGAGTAATGTGCCCGATTGGAAAAATACGTCCGAGTTGCTGAACTCTCAAGGAGGATTCTACATGCACCATTTACCATTTATCAGTGAGTGTCTTTAAAAAGATTAAACAAACTTGGCGTATTGGGAAGAAAAAAGAATGACGTTAGCAGTCGCAAAGCTTTTGCTTTCCGTAATTAATTGAAGGTGTGTTGCTTTTGATTATGAGCCGGTTTGTCGTTTTCTGTAACGGGTGCACCGGTATCATTTGGTGGTTGGTTTTTGCCTTACATATTAAAAGTATTATAAAAAGTGGAAGTTGGCTTCCCAAAGACACGATTTTGGGGGGAATTTCTAGTAGGCCTAATTTTGGTGTGGGGGCAGGGGACGGAAAGTTTTTGCCACTCCCTCGATGTGATTGAATGTGCTCAAATTTTGTCACCTTGACGATTTATTCTCTCTTTCTTCCACCTTCGAACCAGTTTCTGATAAATCATTTTTGTATGATTCTCTTAAAATTGGGGCATTTCGTTTCCACCCCACCCTCCATGGAATTCAACCCTCACCTGACGCACTTTACGGATCTAATAATATTGTTTTGAGGGTTGTCGCTTGAAGTCAAACTTGTCTGGACAAGTTTCTGACATTGCTGCGGCATCGGACCGCGAGGGTTACGAACAATGTCCAAAAACACTTTCGCTGAATAAAGTAAATAAACCTGACGATTTCCTAATCCAATTCGACAGAGTTGACTGTCGATTCGCTGTTGGAATTACGCATTTTTGGCTAGTTTTGTCAAACGCTTTTTTTTCAAAAATGCACACCGCGTACTTGATATGTCGTCAATTTCCCCCGTCGGATTACAATTGTGTTCGGTTCCTATAGATATCACTGGGATAGCGGCTCCTGATGTTGTTATGTGAACGATCAGTTGTATTGGTATGCATTATCCACAGCATAGCAATGATGAAACGTCTCTTGTTTATCAAATTTCATCTCTGTTTGTAATGCCTGAGCTGTAACACAAGATGGCGTGAATAGTACGCCTGGTGTTGGGCCTAATGCGTCGTGGACGATATCAGCGATCGGCCTGCTCAAAGCAGCGTTGCTGTGTAGAATAAATAGCTGATCAGATTTTGCACTTGCGCTGTACTTGCCAATCGAAATAATACCTTCGTTATAGTTTATAGACTCTTGCCCGTACTGAATCTCATTCTCGCATGCAGTCCAGTTTCAAATCAATCAAGTATGTTCTTACTCGTGGTCTGGCTTTGAATTTACCTTTAAGACTGTAATAAAACAAATCTCTGCGTGGATCATTTTGAAACAAGTTGTTATTATCATTTCAGGGGCTTTGTTGACAAAATGTGGTTTATTGTCATCAAAGAATAAAAGTAAATAAAATCCACTGCACCTTACAAGTATTCATCTTTACAATAACTTTCTTTTCATAGGTTGCGTGTAATCTGAGGGGAGAATTCCACGGTAGAGGTGTCACAGGCGTCGTGTTCAGAAGACATAAATAACCTTATGCATGACAAGGTTCTGTATCAGACAATGCAGGCCGATAATCGAAGACGATGCTCGGGTGTCTTGCCCTCCGCCGTGCTTTGAACAACAGAATTGAGAGGTCCGTCCATCAGTGTTCAAGGGAGGCCATCCAACAAAGCTTGGTATCAAATTTCCTCCAAATGTACACAATATCCTCCTTTAAAGCAGATTCTTCCCACAAACAGAATTGCTGACTTTGTTTTCTTGAAGTAGGCCGAGCCACATTTTGAAAACAACTTTGTGTAAAGTATTCGAGATAAAGAGTCGGCCCTCTTTAAAAAACTGACTGTAACCGACTCTTTTGCTAGAACAGTCATACACGACTGAGAAATATGACAACTGAAACGTATAGGCCTATGACAGATTCGTGGCTAACAGAAACTCTAGTCACCGCATTAGATGGTCATAGGCACAGTGAAAAAGACGGTAGTGGAGGTGGTGCCGGGGTTAGTGGTGGAGATGAAACCCAGGGGTGGGGAGTGGGCGGGATTGAGAACAGCATCCCCGTGCGCATCACCTACACCATCATCGCTTGTCTGGGCATCGCCGGTAATTTCATCGTCATCTTTGCCTTAATCAAGGTGCCCTCGCTGCGCAATTGCACTAGCTACTTCATCATCCACCTGGCTGCTACGGACCTGATCACCTCTATCTGGGTCATCCCGTTCCACATGCTGTCCGTGGTGCCTCACATCCCCGAGGGGTTGGGTGGGGAGTTGGTCTGCCGTCTATTCCTCTCTAAGTATCCACTCTGGGTGACCATCTTCGCTTCGGTGTACAGTATGGTCTGTGTGACGATGGAGCGCTTCTTTGCGGTGGTCTATCCGCTCAAGTACAAGGCCCTGTACACCACCTCCCGTATCGTCCCCATGATCGTATCTTGCTGGCTGGTGGGGGCGGTGTCCAACTGGTTTTTCTTCTACAACTACGACTACGTAAGCGGGAAAGGTTGCATCTTCGTGTCTTGGCCCAGCTCGGCTGTCAGCGCGGTCATCGGGGTGTACATCTTTGCTGTCGTGTACTTCATTCCGATCACAACCATGTTGGTAGCTCACTGGAAGATGATCAAATCTCTGAAGAAACAAGCATCATCGCTTGAAGGAAAAGGTCAGTGATAAATAATTCTTAATCCATATTCAACACTCCAAATTCAGCTTAGAAATGTCCGAATGAAACGCATTTATACTTAGATTTGACCAATGAAGTTTTGCACTTCATTTGGTTCAACTATCTGTAACATTGTCAGCAATTGTCAGGTCACATGACCCCCCATCCCATCCTATTCTGACCAACGTTTAGAGCTTAGAATCATCAACAAATGGCTTCCCGAAAGGCGATCATGTTATTCTCTGCAAGAGAAGTTACTATTGACAATAAACACTCATTCCACTGTCAGACGTAATTTCACTGTCATCCAGAAGAAACTTTGCGACAGCGTCCTATAGGAAATCTTTCTGACGACAATCTCATGACGTCAGACAGAGCATATTGTCAGAAACGTCGGGTCCTCCGCGGATCTTGTCAGAGCCTTACAATTCACAAAAGGCATTTCCTGCTTGATGCTGCCATAAACTGACTTCTGTTGCTTAATTAATTTAACCTCACCTTGCATACCTGGAAATCACATGTGTCATTTGTTCCGGTCATTTTCAGCCTGCAGAGGCGGTGCTTGTAAGAAGCAGGCTTGGCAGCTGCAGGTGGCCCAAGATCTCAGCCGCATGCTGTTGGTGGTGGTGGTGACCTACGCGGCCTGCTGGCTCCCCAACCAAGTCTTGTTCCTGGCATACAATCTGGGCGTTCCAGTCAGCTTTGCTAGTCTCCCCTTCCACCTGTCTGTCATCCTAGCACTCTGTAACTCCTGTATCAACCCCTTCATCTACACGCTCAAGAATGAGCAGTTCCGAAACGGCGTGAGGAAGGCACTGTGTCTGAGGGCAACAGGGGTCGTGGAGCCAGCCGCTAACTCCCTGGAGGGGGCTGAACAGAGAACGGCCAACACGCGAAGTACCAACGTAGAAAGCATTGCATGAAAGTTATACATATAACAGGTTTTGCCCTTACCCAACGTATATATTAATAAGCACTGCATGCTCAGTGCTTGTCCGAGAGCTTGCGAAAAAAACCTCACAAGCTTACCCACGACCTCCTGCTTACTAGTGCAGATGTCTTAACTGCACTAGTAATACATCTTGAAAATGCATGAAAGTTGTTTATTTACAACTTTCATGAAAGTTGTTTATTTACGAAATATATAAGTAGAAGGATGTAAAAAAAAAATTGAAAACTAACTACATTGTAAGACCACTGAGAACAGTGACATTTCGTCTTACCTTTCTAGGTGTTGGTGACCCATTCCTGGCATTTGCTCCCGCAGCCCAACGGACAGACTGCTCTATGAGGGTAGACATGAATAACCCAGTTTTCATGTTCAGATACTTTGCAATTTTCTTAAGCAGAAATTGGGATATTTGTTGGAAAAATGGACAGCTAAGATCTGTCAAACTCAGAGCGCATCGCTTGTAGTGACGAAGAAACTATAAATACTTCAGGTGTTAGAATTTTGAGGATGCTTATGAGGTGAATGTGCTTGTTAATGTAACTGCAGAAACTGTCAGGAACGGACGCAATTAATATCAGCATGCATAATGTGTGTGCATTAAAACCTCCCCAAAGAAACCTTTTAAATTTTCTAATGGTCAGAACATTATAAAAAAATAGAAATAATAAGTTTCGTCATAATCATCCTCCATTGGTTGAAGCAAATTCACGCCCACGCCAATAGAAGTGGTCTCATATCTCCCTTTTTCGTGTTTTTTTTTATCTAGGAATTGAAATGACGGGAAGCTGGTTTCCAAATAGAGGCTTACGCTGTAGAGTACCGAAGTGTGACGTCACTGTGAACCAAAAAGTGCAGTGCAAACGAATGGAATACGCGCGCGTTGGTTCACGCGCTGGTTCTTGCGCTAATGTCTTTTACACACTAATCGTGCGCGTGACGTATTCACTTCGATAGTCTCACCTTATTTGTGTTGTGTTTGTTATCGTTTCTGGGCGTTTATTGTGATTTCACAAAGGCAATTATGCTACATCACCACGCACTTTTATTCAAAACGCAACACGTTGAACGTGTGCATACCTGTTACTTCAGTGTTGTTGCCACGACCACGGTGTATTAGTTTAGCCACAACATTTTGACTTCAAAGTTGAGTATATTAAAATTGTGGGTGTTGGGTTTGTCGCACAATGTGAAGTGGTGCCATTATTTGTCCGGTTTGATTTTATTTCGACGACAGGGGAGCTTTCTTCAAGAGCTCATTCAGAGCTAGTAGCAAGCATGTCAGAAACGGGTCAGGACCACTTGGTCGACGTGGAAAACGAGGCAGGCCCAAGTACAGAAAGTGGAGTCACTCATCGAGAGCATGTCGACTGGAGTCTGCTACCCGATGTCACCACGACTGTGATAGCTTCATATTTGCTGCCTTGGCAACGTGGCTACATGGCGATGGTCTGCAGCAACTGGAACCGCGCCATCATGAAATCGCCACACTTGTGGCGAACCAAGGAGTTCCGACTTCATGGCAACTGGAGAGATTGTCATAACCTTGCCTATGCTAAGAGCGTGGGGCGACACCTTAAGAGAGTGTACTGTTCGTTCGGGTTCCGATCGCATCGCTATCCACGTCGCATGCAGAAGTTCTTCACTGCCTTACTGGCAGAGCTCTATCGTAGCGGACCCGTTCAACTTTTGGATCTACATGTCACCTCGATGCAGTTCCACCGGAACTTCCAGTCGCCAGACACCCACCATGCCAGGAAAGGTATCATGCGATCCTTGAACCGGTTCCTTCGACGACAGACCATGCTTGAGACTCTAGATCTGAGTGAAGATCTGTTGCGATTGGACGAAGGTATTGCTTTGTTGTCCTCGGTGACTGAAAATTCATCCTCCACTCTCAAGGTACTGTATATTGATGACACTTTCCAGCAAGGGGCTGGAGTTCATGCTGACTCAAGTTTTGCCAGAATCATGGGTCGTTTCACCGAGCTGGTTGATGTGACCATTAACTACAGCTGCATGTCGGCGGAGCTGCTGTCTCGACTGGCCACTGCTTGCAGTTCGGCACTACAAGTTCTGAACATCACCACTCATCGTCATGACAGTCACGAGCACAGCATTGACCGAGAGGCGTGGGTCGATTTCAGCGAAGCTTTGCCTGGGACCCACGTCACCCTGTCCATGAGCGGCATCGTGAGGATGGTCGCCGTCTATCGCATCTTGACACCCGGTATGCCGCTGACTAGCCTGCGCGTCTTTGGTCACAACGACGGAGGCTTCCATCCGGATAGGACCCTTCGCTACCTCTCTCGACATTTTCAACACTCCATACGCAAGATCGTGGTAGACGTCGGCCCTGTCTACCACCCCTACGGTCGCGGATTGCACAACCTCGTCCAGAATTGCAAAAAGGTGGAAAACCTTCAGATCCACGGACGCATTTCTTGGCCGGTTCTGCGCGACGTCTTCGACTTCGTGGACGAGACGTACATCAAGAAAGGTCTTCGACCTAGCCTGACCTATCTCCGGGTAGTCATCACGACGATAGGTTTTGGCCAGGAAGAGGCGTTAGTAATGGAGGAATTTCGCCCGACCTTTGACCTACACAACCTTAACTACGAGCTCGTCTTCGATCCCATGTACCCGCTACCGCTCGGTCCCTTGGTACCTGAAGCTGATGGCCAGCTGGTCGACGATGGGATCGAGGTTTGGTAATTTGTACAAACATTCACAAAGCTGTCGCGGTATTTTACTCCGTGTAGGACACAACACCAATACCTTCGAATTCGTCGCACAAAAATTTCTACCAGGTGTCCAGTTGTTTTTGGATGGTGTTTGTGCAGATCAGAAAGACGAATCAGTGGGACCTTTTACTTGTGAAAAAAAATCATCCTATTTTTGGCGCGAGATAGTCGCGTTAGGAACAATTATTCGGTGAATGCATTAGACACGTAACTTTTGAAGATGATTTATACAATTCCTCAAGCTTAATGTATTTTTTCCGTGGTGGGAGGCACTTTTTATTATAAAAAAAAATATTACACCCAACTTCTTTTTTCGAACCAATATTGCCTGTTTTTGCTTATTTCTCTCTTCGAACATCTGCACGTCTATGCAAATCTTTCTTGTCCTCTTGATTGAAAACCACAATTAGGACAGACATACTGCTGTGTCTGGTATAAAATGCAAATAATTCAATGAACTATAAATATATAGTTTTCATGTTAATATTTTAAAAATGACTTCTTTGTCCATCCGTGCATACTAAGGAACTCAATATATTATGTAGATCTATTTCTGTTGTCTCCAGGGGGTCCAATTGTCAAAATTGTTGTCTATGACTCTTGCTCGAACGCGAACCGCTGAGGAAATATCAACTTTATGTCTGCACATTTTAAACCAAGAGGAATTTCCCAGCTCTTTCACTTTGGGAACTACTATACTTGACGCATCAGTCTGATGCGGAAGAATGCTACAAAATAGTTCCGGCTTTGGCGGGAAATGAGTTTCCACGCGTGTCGTCAGTTTCCATTCGAAGTACTTATTGTACATAGCGTCATTCCTATCCAGTAACAGGAGGTAGTCGACAAGTTCTTTGATCGAAGGAAAGTCACCGATGTGGATGAAAGAATTCCTTGGGGCCACTCGTTCAAAATCCTGCCTTGGTGCGCCACCAACGACCGGCAAGATGCCATGCTGGAGGGATGTGTCCCAAAACGTTTCTGTGATGTAATCTCGACACTCTGTGTTTGCAAGAGCGAGGTAGAACTTGTACTGTCCCAGCAGTTTCTTGCACTGTTCGGAGCCGCGCGGCAAGCAGTCGATTGCTCCACACCGACCGTAGGTGTCAACCCTCACCAACTCTCTGATCCGTTCCACGAACTCGTTTCTCGGCCAGAAAATTTCTTCACAATTGCTAGCCATCCAGGCAATCAGTCTGTTTTTTCCTTTTGCATAGTTTTGCTTAGACAAAACTCTCCTCAAAGAACCGGACGTCTCGTTAGATACGGTTTTCCCGAATGAGAAAGGGATGTCTGAGTCGGCATTGTACGTCATCAACTTGTGGTATTTGAGCTTTGCTAACCTTAAATCTTTAACCCATCTTAGGGCCCTGAATGGAGATTCCGTGCTGAAGTACACCCAGGTTTGACCCACAGGTGGCAATTTATTCACCAGAGTTGCTAAATTCCCGGCAAGCATTTTAGGCATCATTCCAAACACCACAGCATCTTTTGTCTTGAATTCCTCAACGTCTGTTGACACAGTGACTCCAATCACCGTCCTAAAACCCGGGCAGAGCACTGCAGCGCGGTGTCGATAGGACCCTGGTATCCCGGCGGCAAACAGGTTAAGAATACCGCTCAGTTCTGGGAAATCCTCCATATTATCGATGCCCCCATAAAGCAGAAACTCCCGGAAGATTGTGGACCCGTTCGTGGAAGGATCTAGGCGGTATCTCGTGATGAATTCGCGCCGGTCACGAACGTAGAAGCCGTCCGGAGTAAGGCTGGGGTTAGACTTGAAGAACTGCGACAGACTTCCCACCCAGGGACCGGGCAGGACAAGGTAGGAACCGCACAAGATTATGACTAGAATGATACCCACGATGGGCCGAACAGCTCGACGGATGATGGATCGGAAAACCTGCATGAGGAAAGTTGATGAAAATGCACCGTTCAGTACAGGTTAGTTATAGTACATTAAGCTATGTACTTGTTCGGAATCACGTATGTTTTATTCAACCTCGATTTAGAGGTTTGACGATTGTGCACCCATGTTTGTGCACAAAACCAGAAAGTGATTGGTTTCGTAGGTCCATCTGCTGTATATAAACTAACCAGCATTAATCTTATGGAGCATGGGCGTAAATCCCGGGGAATGGGAGCATATATCCCACCCACTTTTTGAACTGGGATGGGCTATCGAATCATCCCCATGCACACTTTCTGTGGTGAACAAAAAGTTAAAATGGATAGTTCGATATCACAACAAAGGAAAAGAATGTTTAAAAGGCCACATATATGACATTCTTAATAACAGGAACAAATTCAGCACCAACAAACTCACTATTCAATTTATGCACTTGTAAAACAATTCAAAAACGATTTTACACTGTTTTAAATCGACATGTATACCTTATTTTCCCACTGACAAATCTTTTCTTATAGGTATAGATAGTTTGGAGAGGTTAGGGCATGGACAGCATTTGTTAAAATTAAACCGGCACAAAAATCCCACCAGAAACTTTCGGGGTAGATGACGGTGGTTTTTGTCAACTTCCGTCAGCAGTGTCAAGGACAGGCAACATGTCTCTGGATCATTAAATGATATTGAGCTCGGATGAGAGTATCAAAGGCAACAGTCATACCGTAGAGAATTATAATATTATTTAACAGTGGAGCAAAGAGGCTAATTTTATTTAAGGTTGCAATGTGATAACGATATACACCCCCTGCGTATGACGTCACGTTAGAGGGCATTTCTTTCTTCCTCTAGGATAGGCTCGAGTAAATCTTTTGTGCATTTGTTGTTAAATCTATAAAATAACAAACGTCCTGTATCAGGGCGCTCCACGCAAGCCTTCTATTAAAATGGGGCTGTTCAACTCGACATACCTTGTATATTTTTCTCTTCGGAAGGTAGTAACCTACATAGCTACAACGTTTTTGCTTCATAGTAAAGTTATGCTTCGTAGCAAATTGTCTGTAGGAACGTTGGCTTTTCGACCTTGGTAGAAGTACTCCTACGAAAAGATCAGTTTCTGCAGATCGTTAGGAAGCCCGGCTTATGAAAATAAATGCGTGTAAGCCTATCACCGTTGTTTCGTGTACGATAGAGCACGAGGATGTGACATGGTGTATGCGCATGGTCTAAAGTCCACGACAGCAAACACTAGTGGGCTGCAGATGAAAGCTCTGGTCTGTGGCTTTTCAGTTGAATTCGATTTGACACATTATAGCGTTCCAGCATGGATGCATCGGTGAGGATAACTTCTCGAATGGCGCCCTCTCGTGATTATTTTTTTAGATGGGGCGATTACAAGGTGTATAGGACATGTTGCCTGGTTGTTTATGTTTTTCATAATTGTCCGTTAGGTCACACATTTCATTCATTTCTGTCGCTTGTAAAATGAAATGATTTATCTAAGTGTTGAGGCCTATGTCATGACATTGTTGATGGAGAGTGCTTTGGAACGCACCTTCGCCCCAACGGACCGACAGATTGCAAATGAATGGACAAGACGGTCGATAAAAAGTAGACTTTCCCTGATTTAGTGTATTACTTAACATGCCGCGAACATTCCACGTCGCTATCGTCCTTTCATGGTAGTTGACGAGCCAATAATTTCCGGTATTGTCTCGCATTTCGGTGCTTTTACTCATGTTTCAACTCGCACGTCACGTGTTCATTAAAAGTGTATGAATTAGCTGACACTTTGGAGAATAAGAAAAGGTTGGACATTGATGATGTCAATTTTAAAATGCCTTGCTATAGAAATTTGTTATGCGGAGTTGGGGCTGTTTGTGATGCAGATGCACATTTTTTATTTTGCGTAGATTTTAAATTTCAACGTAAAATCATAAATGTTGAAGTTGTTTGGGCTTATATGATATAGTTCCAGAGATCATCAATTTTTTACACCCTTTTACACAAAATGTGGTCTTTAATTACCCCTGACCTGTCCTCCTTGGATCGATCGCGGAAAAATAATGATGGCTGATCATCTTGATTTCAAGGTCCGAGAAACGTTTGTAGTAGTCCCGTCCTTGAATTGCGTCAGTTGATACTTTATTGTGGGGAATCGCCAAATGGACTGGAAATAAGTCTAACCACCTTAGTCCCATTGCAGCAGTGAAACTACGCGTAAACAGAAAGTAGTCCATCACTGTTTGATAATGGTGATTAAATTTCATATTTGAATCGAGTAATTTGAATAAGGTTGGTATTTAGTTACTTGGCAATTAATACTAAATCCTTGTCACTGATTTTTTGGGATGCAAACCATCTTAAAAACCAGTAGGTATCGGTCAGGTAACGGATACTTTGGAAAACTGTGACGGGGCGCGGCGCAAATTCTTCGAGAACTTTCGTTGGGTCACGGTAGCTGAGCCACAAGGCTGAGAGCAGACGCCATAAAAGTCCACATTTTAGCTTAAGACTTCTTCCTTTGGCCGGGGAAACACTGAAAAAGAGAAAGTGGGACAGTTGGCGAATGGTGAGTTGTATAGCCTAGACTTGTCTGGTCTTATTTTTTGTATAAACGAGTGTTCTTTGCGGTCACCATTCTCGACTTTCCGCAGTATTAAATGCATGCAGATGTACCATTGAAGTGACGTGTACTGTGTACGTATAAACATGCAGTACATGTACATGTACGCGCGCCGCCACAGTATTTCCACATTGATGACGTTTGGCTTGTATTGTGTATGCAGCAAGATAGTGTAGCCGCCGCCGCAGTCGCAGTGCGCGCTGTAAGCACAGCTCAATATGTATGGGACATTGCAACGATTAAGTTGGGACTGTTTCTGTATTAAAGTACATGGAGTATCCCTGCAACATGTTCATTGCTTCGGCAGGCCATTTTAAGTTTCCCAGTGCTGTAGGCCTTTGTGTACATTCTTGCCGAACTCTCAAGGGTTCTTTAAGCCAAGTAGGCCTACTGCCCGTCGGGTAAACGGTTCAAATTGTTTTTTTTTTTTTATAACTGTGTTAATTACTATCATCGCGTGTGATTGTTTACAGTATGCAATGCATGTAGGCCTACTTCTTTTTTTCTTTTAGCAGGGGTTTGTTTTAATTACGTTTCACTCGGAATCAACTGATGAATGAAGGTCAGATTTCAGAGAGGGTACTTCTTGTGGTTTTGCTGTGTCCTACTCTCGGTGCACACGCTGTGCCAGAAACCCCCACAGGCACGCCCCCATCATGAAACTTCATTATGATAGATTTTCTGAATAAAGAATGTCCACCTCTGTATAGGATAGTATTAAAACAGCAGTAGGTTTGATGTGTAAAAATTATTCATAATCAGTTTTCTGGGGCACTGAAGATAAATCAGCATATCGTGCGGTTACTCTTAGAAGTGCCCTCGTGAAGGCAATAGGCCCCTATTATTTTGGATATTGTCCAAATGAATTAATTGAGGTGGTTCCCTGTCAGTCGAGAGCATGGACAACCACAGTTGGTAACCAGTGAAAATAAAATTAAACGGATGAAGGAATTTTCAACGAGCTGCATTTATGACCGTCGACTTATAAAATTTAATTCTCCATAGACATATGGTGTGTGGTTGCCGTTAAATATGTAGAAAAAATTAAAACACGTCGATGGGTGCAGTGCACTTGTATCGGCATAATATATCATTTACATAATTTGGCCGGTCATTGATTACTCCTCGATCGGAGTAACTCACAGTTTTGGCCATTATGAAATGTTGTACGCAAAGTGGTAGACTCACTCTTCCTCAGCCAACTCCGGTTATTCTGCAAACTTTACTTAACGTTTACTTTCCCACACCGATACGTCGACTTCCACTGCTACAGACATCGTGCGTAAGTATCCTTCAGTTTTCCTTTTGCTAGGCAAACAACCACGTAATTATGCTTTTTAAGAACAAACGCCCTGTGAGAAAAGAATGGTGACCATTCAAACGATGTTCAATTTTGTTCAGACAAACTGTATCAGGGTTACCCTAAGTACTTTTATTTCACTTGAAGTCCATGAATATTAACGTTCATGTACGTAGGTAATATAAGCAGGTAAAACGTAGGGCAAAAATGAATTCATTTTCAAGAGGGTCTATTTTGGTTCTTATCTGATTCAAGTTTCAGACTTGTTGATTGAAACTGACTGGACATTTGCAAGCAATATGGACGCTATTTCAACTTGGTATGTGGAAGTTTTGTTTTACTCGCGTTTTTGTTGGTTCCTTTTGTTCATAGGTTAATCGTGATTTTCCGTTTGTATATGCATATAGGTAATTCAAAAACTTTTTCCTGTGTTAATTACGCGTATTGCATATTATTCAAGCCCCGCATTTCATAAGGCACTGAGTGAAAACAATTGTCCATCAAGTACTTCTCCCATAGCCTTTATATTTCATCCATTTTTGGCAGCTTGGTGTTCGTTGGCCTGTTGGGTTGTCTTGTTGGTTTTTCTGCTGGGAGTGATTCCGCATTGTGTACGTGTAAGCATCAACTGAAACAAATCGTAACCGGACCGAAGCATGTTTGGGTTGTGAACACCAACAACGAAATCTTCAGTCGACAATTGAACAGTGCAACCAGCCATGGAGAGTGGGTTAAACAGTGGTCCAACAAGACGGCCATTTCTGTCAGCCCCAACGGTTACATTTGGGCGCTAGGTTCTAACTATAAGCATGTGTATCTTAGAGAAGGAATAACTGATAACCAACCTGAGGGTGTAAGCTGGAAATCGGTTGGGTCCTTGGAAGTGGATAAATTTGCCGTGGGGAAATCCGGTCTCTGGGCGGTACAGATCTTTTGGTCTGGACAGAGGCTGTATTATCGAGTAGGCTCGTATGGTGATTCAGGTAATCATGGTACTTGGTGGTATGAATACACCTTTAGTCCCAAAATGAAGTTTACTGTCAAGATAATTGTAGGTCCAAACGAGGTTTGGTTTCTTGACACATTGGGTCAAATCTTCAGGCTGCCTGTGTTTGGTGACAGGGCCATCGGCTCCTGGCAGCTGTACGAGCAAAGTCATGAAAACCCACCGAGTTCCCAGATGATCAAAGGGATTGCCATATCTCCAGCAGGGAACATGTGGGCAATATGGTTTATTCACAAAGTGAGCCGAAAAGCTGGCTCAATGTCCGAATGGATCCAGGACGATGACCGGCTGGACTTGATAGATATTTCGGCGGGAAAGATTGGAGTTTGGGGCACTGATGGACATCATGTTTACTATCGATCAGGAACGTACGGTGATGAGTATGAAACAACTTCGCTCACTGGTTTCTGGGACCTCTTAAAACATCCTTAGACGTTTTGGTCCACTTTATATAAAAGTTTGAAGTATTTTAAGACCAGGGCTTTACATATTATTCAGGGTCCCATTGACTATTTTGTACCACCTGTATCAACAGAGAATCGACAGAGCGAATAAAAATGGCGATGAGAAATTATTGGGCCAATTTTAAACACCATCTAATTGCTCACCCTGCCTTTTTGAGAACATACAAAAGTTTGGATAGCTATGGAGGTGAAAGGATTTTTAAAGGCTTATTTGGAAAACGTATGGAAACAAATAGACTTGAATCTTAAAAGCATCCACTTCAATGTAATAATCTTGAGAGATCGAAAAGACTCAGATACTGCCTATGTAATTCGGTTCTATTTATGTTGACGAAACAACCGACCCAGTGTAAAACTTTCTGTTAGCTCCAGTACAAACGGAAAATATTGTATTCAATGATGTTTTAATTAATTTTAAAGAGTGTCAGGTATTGGAGTTTGGGAAAAATTTAATTTGGTATTATAAATTGAAAATTAAAGAAAAATAGATTGAGGGATTTTCAGCGAACTCCTTTCGTGGTCGTTGTCTCATTACATTTAAGTCCCCGCTTTTATTGGTATCTCTTAAATGACAGTACTTTTGACAGACTGTCACGTGCATCATCCAGTTTTCGTGACGCATATCAGCAGCTTTTTTGTAGACAGTTTGATCAACACGCGCGCAATCACAGAACTTTGGTGAACTTGTACCTGATGGCGTTGGATACGTATCCGTCATTTTCCTATGAAGATGGCGTCCAGTGACAATAATGGTAAAAACTGTCACTTCGCGTTGAGTGACGACATCTTCTGGGTCACGGAAGCTGTACTGTTATAGCGGTCAACGACAACCCTTTCAGAGTATCACAAGGATTGCCGATGGGAAGCTTGTGGAAGTTGTAGTCTGAGCGAAAGACAAGTCACGTCTCAATTGATACTTCTGCAGAAAATGTATTACACGCACCTGGCACGTAATAACAACATGTAGGTACGCATGCTTCTCCCTTCAAGGTACCCTGGGGCTGGATTCATCTGAAACGCTCTCTATCTAAAGGCACAAAACAGGGTTCTCCTCTGTGTAAGCAATGGTATTGTGAGCAGGTGTCAACATATTTCCACTCAGAACCCTGGTGGAATGGAATCACCTGCCTGCAAACACTGTTCAAAGCTGGAAGATTAAGCTCAGGGACTTCCAAATATCACTAATGGGGGGGGGAGCTCATCGTTAACGTCTGCTATCTACCACGTAGAATAGTGAAATAACTGACAAAGGGGTGGCATGGGGAGGGTGATTAAAGGCAAAAGAAAAGAAATTCCCCTTCGGGAAAGTTTCATAGCCGCGTGCCAAGCGGCTTCTACTCATTGTGTGAGGCCATTCGACTTCGCATGACAACGGCAGCTCATAGATTCACGCAGTATAATTTTCAACACTGAGAGAAATAAAGTAAACATATTTAATGTAGTTGTTTTATTATTAACCATCCACATATTTCACGGCATTGAACTATTCACGGACAGTACGTTGCTATCCGCCTTAATAGCACCCTCTCATCGGTTAAAAAGAGATGTTGGTCGGGAGTGTTCATTTTATACTCGTTATTTATTTGCTGTTTATAGTTCATGTTTTCACACACGTGCGCAAAATGAACGTAATGCGTTGTACTTGTTTTACCTGTTTAAGAACACTAATGTCTTCCAGCTCCAGACTTTGATAAAGTATTGAGTGAAAACAAAAAACATTCACCATCCTCCTCAAACGTTATTGGGTTTTTTTCGCAGCTGGATGCTGGCTAGCCTGTTGAGTTTTGGATTCGGGTTTACTGCTGGAAGGAATAGTCGCCCAAATTTAGGTACACTGAATCAGATCGCAACAGGGCCAAGACATATTTGGGTTGTGAACACTGACAACGAAATCTTCAGCCGAGAGGTGAATGGTGAAGCCAGCTACGGGCAGTGGGTCAAGCAACCTTGGTACTACAAGCGGGCCATAGCTGTTACCCCAGAGGGGCACATTTGGGCACTTGGCACTAATATGGACTCTTTCGTTTATCGCCGAGAAGGAGTAACTCACAGCAACCCCATGGGTACCAGATGGAAACTAGACGGGTACTCATGGACGGCAGAGGTTGCTGCGGGCTTCCCTGGTGTCTGGACGGTACAGCAGTTTTCGCGTACCACGTTATCTTATCAAAGACACACGTATGGGGATACGGGTTCTTCCGGTTCAGCGTGGATTGCACAGGACTCTCCTTCTAAGAAGTCTATTACTCAGCTATTTGTAGGGCAAAGGAATGTATGGGTTCTTAACGTAACGTAAGAGTTCTTAACGAGGAGGGCAGTCTCTTCTGCCTGCCTGTGTGTGGTGACAATAGCTTTGGGTTATGGCAGTCGTACGACAGTCGTCTGACGTCGGAGAGTACCCAGAAGATGAAAAGGATTGCCATTTCACCGACAGGAAACAAGTGGGCACTGTGGAAGAGACGGGTGGGCCGAGGAGCTGACGAAGATGCCACTGGATTCAAATGGATCCTGCATAACGACCAGCTGAACTTGATAGATATTTCGGCGGGAAAGGTTGGTGTTTGGGCTATTGACAACTCAAGCGTTTACTATCGATCAGGAACGTACGGCGATGAATACGACATAACTTCACTCACTGGTTCCTGGGTAGATGTGAAGTAGCCTCGTGATATTTTATGGCAAAATAAAGTCTCGCAAAAAGAAGTTCACATTCCTAGAATCTAATAGCGGTTCAAGCACAGATTCCAATTAAGCGCATAATTCAGGATGCAATGTGACATTGTCAACTTTGTCCCACATTGATGCGGAGTCAACAATGTAATATTAAATATCGCTAAAGAGTCATCAGACCAGTATCCAGAGACCAGAGGCATAATCTCGCCAAAATAGTTTATTTGCCTTTCTGTGGTAAAAATGGAGAAAATCAAAACCTATTATGAGGTGAAGGTGTATTAAAGTCATTTTAACAAGTAACGCAAACAGTAGTGTACAATGCGAGAAGCATTCATTTCAGTGTTGTAATATGTAGATCTCGAAAGGACTGCTGTTCTGGCCTTGTAATTCTCTTCCATCTCATTGAAACAACATTCCTGTCTAAAAATGTCTTTCATCAGTACAGAGAACTTATTAAGGACTAGCTATTTTATTTAGTTTTGTTTTTAATTAAGTTTAGAGAGTGTTATAGGTATGATTTAAATGCCCAAAATAAATACAGGTGATGGACTTTTCAGCAAATGGTAAAAGTCACTTTGTTATTTAAATTTTAAATCCTGTGTCATATTTCCTCCTTATGTAACAGTAATATCAACGTTGATTGGCTTTTTCCCCCAGAGTGTAGGAATATACTGAACTCCCTGTAAAATTTGTACTTGTAGATATCCCGCTAAAATCTGTCTTATATATAGTGCAAATACGAGCGCTAAGTGTGCATACATAAAGGCTATATCGAATTCAGTTGTACGGTCCACCAAACGATTTTCGTTGTGTCTGTACTACTGGGCGGACTATCCAGCACACTTTGACCTTTTTAAAGAAGTATGAAAAGGTCACATGGATATGCATGAGCATAATAATGTGATCGTAAGGATATGAATAGGAAAGAAAAAGGGTTAAAAATTCTGGCACAGGTTGACCTTTTGTTTGGTTAGAAATAAACAACGAGGGTAGGGTCAGACAGCCTGGAACAGGTTGATCGTTTTTAAGAGATTGCACAACACGTGAAAACTTCTGAATATAGAACGAGGAAAGGGTAAACATTCTGGTACAGGTTGACCTTAGTATGGGTAAACATGAACATGAACTTCCCTGTGAAAAAAATTGCACATCAGGATGAAGCATAAAAATGGACGATGAGTCATATTGCGTGATGTCATGGAAAATTTAAATACTGACTGGCCACCTAATCCGACAACCCACCGCCACTTATAAGTGAGGCCTGTGCAGCAAAACAGCCATGCTGGACGAAGCATCTTAGTCAGCTTGGGGCAGCGGATTAGCAATGGCAAAGCCAGTGCTAGAAGTACCCTGTAACCCTGATCCTTGGGGTTGCGAGACCAGAAGAAGGTCCGAGTCTCAGTTCTCCTGTGTCCAAGAGCCTCGTGTCTGAGAGCGCAGCGACCTCCACACCAAAAGCCTCAAGCTACTTGCTAAGCAAAGTAGTTGGTCTCTTGGGAAGGTTGGGATGGATGTCAACGAGAGTTCGTATGAGCCAACATGCAATTTGTTTCTTTGATTTGAGATATTTTTTTCCCACTGAGGAGAACCCGCTGACCGTTGGCAGCCGGTCAGGTTGATTGAGGGGTAAGCTTTTCTACCTTACCTTCTCTAGAGTCATCCTAGGACTGAGGCACGCGGGGCATCCCTGGAAATTGCCGCCTGGTCGCCCAGAAATGACCTCACAGCACCACCATCCGTCAGGAGCTGTGCGACCCGGCGTCACTCCTGGACCGCACAAATGCAAGTTCTTGCCACCAGCTTCAATGGCTTGCAGCTTCTAAAATCTACCAGCACCACAAGAGGCTTTTAAGTCGCTTTGCAGCTTGGAGTTGTTGAAGAGGCCTGCACAAAAATTGGGTGAGGGAAGCCTTGTGCGGGTTCTGTCCCACCCTCTGGGTCATATAGCTGGAGAATCAAGTGGCAAGAAGAAGATCCAGACGACTTGGCCATCAACTTGACCGCAGCCCCGCTTTGTCAGACTCATGATTCTGATAATCTCGCCCAGCTGCTAATTGGAAGATGTTGAAGGCACCTGGCCAAAGTCCTCCTGCGCTGCTCCGAGATGTCGAAGACAGCCGAGAGCAAAACGCACCACCTGCTGGCTTAACGATTTGGCCCATAGCTGGTGATATGGATGCATTTTTACGTCCTGCCCTCATCTGTATACATAATCATAGACAACACCCTACATATCATCCAATATACATGTAGTTGTTTACTGGTTGCCTACTTGAGCAAATGCACTTAAAGGTGTGTGGTCACCTTTAATGCGATTGAGCTCTGCCGTAGAGGATACATACACAAAGAGGTAACCATTGCTGGATATCATCCTCAATAGAGGAATAATCAATAACGAGGCGGCCTTTGGTTGATGACACGCGAAACAAAAATAAACCCGCAGAAAACTTTATATCCGCCGCCCTTCAGCATCTTATACACATCAGACTCGGCCTCTAGAATTTCTCAACCGACCCTCAACGCCTCGCTTTGCCAACCGCCACAGCTAATAGATTCGGCACATGGTGTATGTTTGCCCGTTTAAATATCGAGTAAATTAACTATAGATGGGTATAGTGTTTTGTATGGAAATGATGAATGATCTCCATAATTTTGCCTGCTATTGATTATTCATCGATCGGTATGAAAAACACGCAGTTTTGATTATTATAAAAGGTTGTGCATAAAGTGTGAGACTCACTCTTCATCAGAGACCTCCGTCTATTCTGCACACCTTCTCTCAGTGTTTAGTGTGACAAGGCTTCAAGTCGAACTACACTTTCATTGATAGCATAGCAACGAGTTTTTGCGTAAGTATTAAAGTCCTTCAGTTTCCTTTTGGCTAAGCAAAGGCGTACGTCATCCTTTCTAAGGCAAAGTCCCACTGCAACCTTGCATATTTAAAAAACGACGCTCATTTTTTTCTGAAAAAAATAAATAAATAAAGGGGTGCAAGACATTCAATGAGAACTTGAAATCCACAAGGGACAAACTAGTAAAAAGGTGTCGGTCGGTTGCTGACTCGGGAGCGATTTTGACGGATACCGGTACATAAAGCTTGGCGATGGTGTTGACGCATTCGTCAGTCTCAAACAAGATTTTCCATCAAGGATTTTCTCATTCAACTTTTAGACTTGCTGCAAGCGATTGGACACTGACAAGAAGTATGGACGCCATTTCAACTTGGTACGTCTAAATTTCTTAAACTCTCTTTTGTTTTGTTTGATTGTGTGTGTTAGGCAATTTAACGCTCATGTGAATGTTTGAGTTTGGGTGAGTGTAATACGCTCGTTGTCCTCGGCGAGTTACTCATTGCAGACCACTTTGTCTTCAAGTTTTACCTCTAGAAACAGAACACGAGCGATTCATATTTGCTCGTCACCCACCACCCACACAGGGCGCTGGGAAGGGCAAATCATAATTTTTTGTCTAACACTCGTTGGACAGAGTTCACTTCAAAGGTTAACCTGTCCTTGTGCGTATGACAAGTGCTCACTGCAAATACTTGTGTTGATTGCGACAGTGGGCAATTGAGAATGCTTCACGCGTCAACTATGAGATATTTCCTATACAAAAAAGTATTTTGTAAAACACAGTTGCCTCTTCCAGGGCCCTGTATGGGCGCTGGGTGACGAGTGATGCGGTTCACATTGCCATTTAGCACCACGAGGTTGTTACGGATAGGCCTTTCCGCAGGACATGGCAAACGCTACGTGCTCCGACTGTGATGTGCGCAAGGAACTTCAATTCTGTTTCTGCTCGTGAATTAAAGACTAGGAAGAATTGAGAGTATCGGTGTTAATGAACATAAAATGTTTTTTTTTCCCTTCGTTTCGGATTGGCTCGGCTCGGCTGGGCTCGGCGGGGCTTGAGTCGGTTGGTTTGGTGCAGTTCAATTTGTTTGTTTGTTGGGGTGTTGGGGAGTTTGTTTGTTGGGTTGTTTGTTGGGGTTGTTNGTTTTGCTTCAGTTGTTCGTTTTGTTTTACGAGGCACAATCGAATTCCATGATTAATCGCACATCAAACTATTGCCCTCCTAAAACATTTGATCGATTTTTGTTTGTTGGTTTTTTTCTTGCAGCTTGATGTTGGTTGGCCTGTTGTGTTTTGGTGTTGGATTTTCTGTTGAAGGCGATACCCATTTAGGTACACTGAAACAGATTGCAACAGGAGCACGGCACGTTTGGGTTGAGAACACCGACAACGAAGTCTTTTGCAGAGAAGTGAAAAGTCCCACCAGCTTTGGAAAATGGGTTAAGCAACCCTGGTCCAAAATGGGGGGGTTAGCTGTTACTCCTAACGGGTACATATGGGCACTTAATGACTTCAAGGTGTATCAGCGAACACATATAACTGAAATCAAACCCAGTGGTACCGAATGGACTCCCATGGGACAATTTTTGGCGTATATAGTTGCTGCGGGTTACTCTGGGCTGTGGGCTACACCGTGGCTGTCGTCTAAGAGAATGGTCTACTGTCGAAAAGGCACGTATGGTGATTCAGGTGATCACGGTTCAGCGTGGATTCCAAAGAACGTTCCCGACATGGAGTTTATTAGTCAGGTCTTCGTAGGTCCGAACAATGTATGGCTTCTCGACGCGGAGGGCAGTCTTTTCTACCTGCCTGTGCTTGGTGACTGTAGCTTTGGGTCATGGCAGTCGTACGATGGTCATTTGACTTCAGAGAGCACCAAGAACATGAAAAGGATCTCCATTTCACCGGCGGGAAACAAGTGGGCACTGTGGAATGAACGGGTGGGCCGGGGAGCTGACAAAGATGCTGAGGGATCCAAATGGCTCTTGGATGACGACCAGCTGAACTTGATTGATATTTCGGCGGGAGAGGTTGGTGTTTGGGCTATTGACAACTCACGCGTTTACTATCGATCTGGAACGTATGGTGATGGGTATGATACAACTTCACTCACAGGTTCCTGGGAAGTTGTGAATTAGCCCTAGAACGTTTTTATGGCAAATAGAGTCAAGATATAATGTTCACTTCAGACGAATCTGATGGTATTACAAAGAACAGATGCCGCACGCATTCCAGCTGCAATGTGAAGTTGTCGATTTTGTCTCATATATACAAACGCAGGGAGTCAACAGTGCAAATCAAAAGGTCGCTCAAAATTCATCCGACTTATTTTCATGGTGACGCAGAATACCAACACAATGGCGTCAACATAATTTATTTGACGATACAGATAAAAAGGGAGAAAAAAGCAGTTGTATTTTTCCTTTTTCACAGACGTGAGGGGAGTTAAGGCTTATAAAGAATTTAAAAAACAAATACTTTACCAACTTAGAAGTATTCATTTTAGTATTTAATTCTTGAAAAACTTGAAAGGATTTTCACCCTGGGTTTCTGTTCCACTACGTTGATGAAATGGCAATCCAGTTTTAAAAACTTTTTCAAAAACGGAGGGTAAATTAATGTGGGCTAATTCAATTATTTTTCCTCGAATTTTAAAGACTGAGGATGAGTATGCATGAAAAGGTTTATTTTAAAGAATATTGTGGAAACAAGATCCTAGAATCTTAAAATCTTAGAAGCATCACGTGTAGTTGGTTTTAGTTTTGTAATTTTGAGACACCTAAAAGGCATAATCTGGCTTTGTAGTTTTTTTATTTCTTCGATTAAACAATAGTTCCATTGTTACGCGTTGAGAACCCTTTTCCTTTTCACAAAAAAGTAGAATGCCTTATTCAGTGACTTTTAAACTGAAGTGTTTTTGAAAGTGTTTCAAGTATTGAAGATCTTAATTACAACCTTTATTCTTTATAGTTTTTCACACTTGCCATCAAATTTTGTGTATTCCTTTGGCTAAAATACAATTGTTCACTGTTTACCATGCACATCTTATGTAAATTATACAAAATCCTTCTGTCATCACTCTGAAGAATGTGGGCAAGATGTGGATTATTGAGGCTATACACCTATTCCGACTTTTTTTCCATTTCTTATCAACTCTCCTTTAACGTGAGTCACCTTGGTGAAGAGAAGCAATGACTGACAGCTAGAGTGCCTTGCCCGGGGGCACACGCACCATGACTCCAGGCTGGATTCGAACCCGCAGCCTGCGGTTTTAGCCGCCGACTACAAACCCGATACTCTTTACCCACAAGGCCACGGCACAGCACAAGTTCAAGAGTCACAAAAACAATAACACTTTTTAATGTCAGTAATTTATTAAAAATTGATAATGAAAACTAATATTAAAAACACATATGATATGGTTGAAGGGATTTAGATTCAGACATTTCGTTTTCATTTACGGTGGTGAAACGACGATCTCATAGAAAATGAGATGGCCAGAAAATAAGGAGTATTTAATGTTGCTTTTCATTTACTTTAAGAGAAGTGGGTGAGTAGTGAAGTTTTAACAAATCTGACTTGTATCATTGAAAATAAAAGGAATAGGGGATTTTCAGCAAACAGCATTTGGTAAGCGCAGCCGAATATGGTTTCTTGGCGAAGTTTGTCAAATCTTGCTCTCTATCCATGTTGGTTGATAGCGCCTTTGGGTCGTGTAAAGATTCTCGAGGATCAAAAACTGTTTTTAAGGTGGGTGAGGGGCGTGGTGCCTTTATACTCTAAATGTGTAAGCCGTAAAGACACCACGGGTTCCGAGTGGAACAAGCGACCGCAGTCTAGCCAGATATGTTAGGCAGGAAAAGTTGATGTTGATATACACGTTTACAACCGATCTGCCACGTTTACAACCGATCTGGAACGTACAGCGATATGCCTATATGCATGCCACTCACTCCATAGTTGTCTACCATATCAATAGATACCGACCTAGTTCTCGTTAATAAAGTACAACACAATGCCTCGGACGCCCCCTTCTGTTTTAGAAGCGTCGCGCACAGGTCCGTTAGTGTTTTCCTTTTACAACCATTCTTTGATCTGCTTGGGCCCTCTCGAAGACGGTATGTACACAGATAGGCAATCATCGCCGTGATGATGCAGGTAATTCAAAATGAAATAAACTATGTAGATGGATGCAGGGCGTGTTTAGTGACCTAACGAATCATTTATATAAACAATTCATCGACAGAATTTCCTGAGTAGCCAAATACGCTTTGCAATGCACACTCCAGCTAATAGAGTCAACATATGGTGTACAGTTGCCGTTTATGTTAATGGATGCAGGGCAATTTTATCGACGTAATGGACCATGTGCATAAATTTGCTAGTAAATGATTATGCATCGATTGGTATGTATAACCCGCAGTTTGTAAAAAAAAAAAGGTTGTACGCAAAGTGGATGACTCGCCGCACTCTTCATCAGCCAACTCCGGGTATTCTGCACAGGTTTATCCAATGTTAAGTCTGCTGCACCCACGAGTAAGATTACATTATAGCAGACACGTATAGAGTACCGAAGTGTGACGTCACTGTGAACCAGAAAGTGCAGTGCAAACGAATAGAATACGCGTGCGTGTATGTTCGCGCGCTGGTTCTTGCGTTGATGCTTTATACACACTAGTTGTGCGCGTGACGTATTCACTTCGGTTCCCTAATGTTCATACCCCTCACTTAGTTGGTGTGCATGCGCACTGAATCCCATTACAGCGACAGAAGCCAGTAAAATGGCTCTTGACTCAGACAGGTGGACCCCAAAAGTAATCGATCAACATCAAGCTCAGATAAAGTTGTTTGCCCCTCATTTCCATACCGATTAGAATTTAAAACACTCAAAGTCCCTTTTGCCAACTTGCACACTATAAAAATCCATTTTCTGCCAAAGTTTTGCCCATCTTTATCTCGTGCCTCCAAATTAGTAACCAACTTAGTCTGAGTCAGAAGTTGAAATTAAAGCCAACATTTCAGAGGGAATTTATTCAGTTTTGCCGAGTTTTCCCTGACATTTCTCTACTTGTGAATGGTGATTAAGGAATATCATGAATACTCTAATGAGAAAGTATCATACAAGAAGGAAACCGTATGGATGAAAACAGAAAGTTGTTGTTTGTGTCTTTTAGTCAGGCAATTTGACGTGATTGCACGTATTCGGGCAGAGCAGTAGGTCAACTCGTACCCAAACGCACTCGTATCCAGGTGGGTGTGCGTGTGCACCATGCCCCAAATCCGGATCTCTCATGTTTGACCACCGCCAAACTCAGTGCGGAAATTTGAATTCACATGAAAAACGAAGCACCACTCGGTGAATGGGATGTACAGAAATATTGTAAGTCCAAAGTAAGTTTGTTGGAAAATGTAACGTTAGGCTTACGTACGTACGTGAGCGAGCCCTGGGCGAAGCCATATGTGAGTAGTCAAGCGCAGCATCGCGGCCAGCTACGATATGGGAGAGGTGAGTGGCGGGGTATTCTGTAATTGTGCCCAGAAGCCTCTATAAAACAAAAAAGCTTAATTTTTATTCCAAATGACAAAGTTCGGTTGATTTTAAGTCTCATACCCCCTTCCCCTTTTACAACTTGGTGAAGGGCTTACAAATCTAACTATGTATTTCATACGACTAAATTAATCAATCTAATACGAAAATATTAACTTCTGCGTGGCAAAACGCGGGGGGCAAAATTACGGGGGGGGGTTACCTGCATTTACCTAGATAAACCTGCCCCCCCCCGACACTTTTACCGGGGGACAGATTTATCGTCTACACCGCTACGCACTACACGGTCGTCGCGCTCGGCCCAGCAGGTCGCATAACCCTTATAATGCGCCCTCATTTGATAGCCTTTATTGTACAACCTGTGTCATGCGTCACCAGTCAGTATGTCCGACCTGATGGATGAGACAATTGGACCCAAGTCTGTGATAGTTATTCGTAATTGCACATGAACGAGATGATCTTCATAATGTATACGGAATTTCCACCAATCAGAATAGTCATACCTGTAGACTCGTTCATTGTAAGTGGACACAAGAGGGCGACGCAAGTAACAGCGGAATAAGAAAGGGCTTCGTAGTACCGTGATTAGAATATTGACAAGAATATAATTTGCTTGCCTTGAAGAAGGTAC